TCCTGGGCTCAAGCAATCCTCTTGCCTCAGCTTCCAGAGTAGCTGGAACTACAGGTGTGTGCCACTGCACCCAGATTCTAAACTCTTTTTTGAAAGACTGTACTGTTTTTTTCTTGTATAGCTACTGAAGTCCATTTCATTAACCTAATGGTCAGCTAGTAATTTGACAGGGATTTCCTTAAATGCTTAGAAACAAATGAACAAAAAAATCACTGGTCTTTGCAGATTGGCTCTGTGTTGGGGCACTTTATCAACATTTGAGTAGACTGTTTACAAGTCTGTCGTAGTTTTCACCTCCTGCTTGTGCAGAGCCTAATGGTCAACCAAAGGTGGAAGCTTAAGGTCTTCTTAGGTCTTTTCTGAGTATTTGTCCTGCCTTGGGAATGTGTGTGGTCTTCTAGATTCGCTAATATATCTCCTTTCTCAGCCTCTTTCTTCCCAGATTTTCTGGTTTGTCTGCAGCTTGACTCATCTGTTTTCTCTTGTCCCAAGTGGTTGAGGCTAGTATATTTGCCTTTAAGTGCTTTTGACAAATGCTACCTGGTAGCCTGCTTCATCCCTGAGAAGGTTCTGAGGCAGGTAAAACAAAGGCAAGTGCCTGGACCAATCTCTTAGGTAGTCATCAGACAGCTCATAACAGACACACACCATAATTCTTTGAGAACAAAGTCTGTAATGTAATGAGACAGTGATTGCACCACTGCACTCCAGCCTGGATGACAGAGTAAGACCCTGTCTCACAACACACACACACACACACACACACACACACACACACGTACATGAGAAAATAGCTTTTTATGTTGGTCACTAGCAAATTTCACCAGGAATTTGGGCTGCTGTTTTTATAGCCATTGCCAAGCTGTGGGGGTAAGAGATGGCAGGCAGGTAAATTAAAGTATGCAATCCTCTCTTACCAAAATCCAGCAGCTTCTTCCTTCATTAAGCAGTCCCCTGGTTCTTCTAACTTTTTAATGAGATTTGGGTTCTGAAGAGGTTAGTTCTGACAGTTTTTGCTAGATTACTCATTGCTGCAGTAAAGAGACAAAAGTTTGGAGTTCCTTATTATATGGAAGGTTGTCCATCTTTATTACTCTGAATATTTTCTCTTCTCCATTTTCTTTTTATTTATTTATTTATTTATTTATTTAGACAGGGTCTCTCTCTGTCTTCCAGGCTGGAATGCAGTGATGGGATTACAGCTCACTGCAGCTTCAGCCTCCTGGGTTCAAGTGATCCTCCTAACTCTGCCTCCTGTGTAGATGGGTCCTCAGGCATGTGCTACCATGCCTGGCTAATTTTTTTTTTTTGGAGACAAGGGGAAGGTCTCATGATATTGCCCAGGATGGTCTTGAATTCCTGGACTCAGGCAATCCTTCCACATTGGACTCCCAAAGTGCTGGGACTACAGATGTAAGCCATTATGCTTGGACTCCATTCTCTTGAATATTTCCTCTTATCTATTCTCTTGACAACTGTTTTTTTTTTTTTTTTTTTTTTTTTTT